TCACCTCTCAACCGAACTGAGATGAAGAGGAATTTCTTCAGCCACAGGGTGGTGAATGTGTGGAACTGATTTCACAGAAGGCTGCGGAGACCAAGTCATTGACGGTGTTTTTACAATAGAGGTAGTAGGTTCTTGATTAGTAAGGGGATCAAGGGTTAAGGGGAGAAAGCATGAGAATGGGTATGAGAAACACCATGATCAAATGGTGGAGCAGACTCAATAGGCTGAATGACCTAATTCTGCTCCTATAACTTATGGTTTTATGCATTAACATCTCATTGTTAGTTAATCTCGTCTCATTTACATACAGTTTCCCATTCTTCCAATCTTTGAATAGAAACTGGATGCTGATAATTCCCAACATGAGAAGCAGAGGGTGACTCTAGCTGACTGTTTGCTCCTCTTGACCCCTATCTTGGATACCATGCATCAACATCTTTGGGCATGCACCATGGGCAGTAAGCATGTGCACCATGTCCAAAGACATATAGCAGCCTCACTGCATCATCATCATGGCACTTATCCAATCTAATTAAAATTTGTTTTTGCAGTTCAGTGCTGCACATTGGAATGCATTTGGTACCCTTCACTGGAACGCTGCTGTCAGGACCCCACACCCAGGGATAGGCAACCAGGGTACTTCTGAGAGCTACTCATTTGCTCTTTTACCATGCACTCATAGAGCCTGTTTTAGTGCTCAGAAGATCCTTTCCTACCTTTGCCTTTTGGCAATTTGCCCCCTTAGCCAGAGCTTAAACGCTGACAGTGCTTCCATCATGTCTTGCTATTTAGCCCAGACACAAAGCCAGGCAGCTTGTCAGGATTGTTAGTAGTCATCAATCAAAGGGATTAGCGATGCTGCTGTGTGGCACTGTACTATATCGGTCTCACGTCTACAGCATGCATCAGCATTCTGACCGGGCAAATACACTGCATCAACACATTGACCATGGCTCAAAATCTGAGAGAAGTAACCCTCAGTAAGGTCAAGGCGAGGCTCCTGCCAATCAGGAGATATGAAAACAGTAAGTCACATGTATTAGTCCAGGAGCGTGGACACAGTTCATTGCTTGGGGTGGTCATGGTCAGGAGATCTGCATCACTGTAGTCCAGGGATTGACTTCTGTTCTGAAGTTCCATTGCAAACAGTCACAGAAGCAGTGTTCAGTCAGTCAGGGAGTGTAAACTGATCACTCAGGGGTCAGATCACCCATCATTAGGGGCTATCTGTACATGTCAGTTAGTGAGTTGGAGAATGGTCAGTTGTGAGTTGTCTCCGAATGGAAGGGGGGGGTTATCAGGCGATACTGTTGCGTGAGTGAATTTGGGGCCATCAATGCTGAGGATTGGTGGCAGCAGCCTGGGATACAGAGGGAAGACTCAGCTGATGCTCTAGGGACAGAGGTTTGAATCCTGCCTTGGCAGATGGTGGAATTTGAAATTCCATACAAATCTGGAATTAAGAGTCTGACAATGAAACCCTTGTTGATTGTCAAGAAAAACCCATCTGGTTCATTAATGTCCTTAAAGAAACTGCTGTCCTTCCCAATTCTGTGATTCTAGACCCACCGATGGTGACCCTTAACTGCCCTTTGGATGATTAGGAATGGGTAATACATGCTGGTCTAGCCAGTGATGCCCATATCCTATGAATAAAGTTTTAAAAATTGGTGGTGGTGGAGCAGGGAGGGGTGGGTGTGTGAGAAGAATGGTGATTGGGGATGGATTCAACACATAAGAAGGGAAGGCAGTAGGGTATGGGAGGTCATAAACTAGAGGAGTGGGGGCTTTTCAGAGTTCACCTCAAGACTGACTGACATAGTACAATGCCACACAGCAGCATCTCTAATCCCTTTGATTGATGACTGCTAACAACCCTAACAAGGCCTCAATGAAAATCTGTGCAGCTTTATGGTGGGGATGAATAAATATAGGATAAATGGGGGGGGTCAGGGGTTTCTGGCATCTCAGTGTATTGGAGGAGTGGGGGCCAGAGGTCACAAACATCTCAGAAGTAGTGGAGAAGTGGGACTCAGGGAACACAGATATCTCAGGGATAATGGAGGACTGGGGCTCAGGGGTCACAGGCATGTAAGAGGTAATGAAGAGAGCTGCAGATGTAGTTCCATGTGATGCATGTGATAACATGTGGAGGATCAGTACTGATCCAGGGAGTGCTAAGAAGAAATGGTCATTGCGGTTTAGGGGGAATCTGCTGGATTACCAGGCTGAGCCTGTGACCGACTGTGCCAAGCATGACCTGTGTTTCCTGCCATATTCACAATGTCTGTGACCACACCCAAAGTGAGCACAGTTAGTGAGAGATAGTAAGAACTGCTGATGCTGGTGTCAGAGATAACAGTGTGGAGCTGGAGGAACACAGCAGGCCAGTCAACATCAGAGGAGCAGGAAAGTTGATGTTTCGGGTCGGGACCCTTCTTCAGAAATGGGCATTTAGCATTTCTGAAGCAGGGTCCCAACCTGAAATGTCAAACTTTTCTGCTCCTCTGATGCTGCCTGGCCTGCTGTGTTCCTCCAGCTCTACACTGTGTTATCTCTGAGCACAGTTAGTGTTTCTTATCTGCTTAAGCATGTGAGAAATGAGGACCTTCAAGGAGCAATCACATTAATCAGGAACTTTCACTGCATAGGTTGAAGCCATCCATAATCACAGGAATGTAGACGCAAAATGCATGCATTATTGTGTTGGGTGCAAATGCTTATCTCAGGCAACCTTAGCCTTGGTAATGGCCCTTGTAGATTGAAGCCGGTCCTCTCTGTGAAGCAGAATTAATCACAGACAACCTTCACAAGTGGCACATGTGGATAACAACACACAAAAGGTGCTGCAGGATCTCAAAGGCTGCAGTTGGGCTCAGATTCCCGATCAACCTGAACTGCAGGTATATGCCTTTTAATATGCAATGATACTTCACCCAGGTGAAGACAAGTTCTTAGTGCTCAAACAGAACTTATAATTTCCTTCTGTCTCGATACCATGAGAGAACAGGAATACAACCCAATGTAAAGTTCTGTGGTAGGGTGTTCCATGTCCCACTGTATAGAGGACTATGCTAACCTGTCATTGGTGAGAGGTACAAGTGCTGATTGTTTAAATCACTCAAGAACTTTTGTGTTTCTCATGTTCCCCACACAGGTTCATTGCAAGTGTGACTGATAGATCACAGCAGGAGTTTTAGTCACTGATGTTGCTGTGATGCAAACAAGGCGCAGAGAAATGGAAGAGAGATAGATGCCTCAGCCAGCCTCGGACCAGCCAAGAGCTTCAGCAGCTACTGGGATCACAGCTGAAGGACACCCCAGGAAGTGCAAGAGGTAGAAGAGGGCCACAGGCTATCATCCTCAGTATCACTTCCTCCAGTTCAGTGAGGTACAGTATTGCCACAGACTGAGGATGTCCGGGTACACTTTCACAGAATTAGGCTGGAACAGGACCCCTGAGCAAAAGAGATTGGTGCCCATTCTTTCCTAATGTCTGTCATGGCAGCAGCTGCGCTAAAGTGTTAATGCAACTGGCTACTTTCAAGAAGCCATGAGAAATCTGTGTGGGATCTCTCAATCATCAACCCACAGAAGTCTGAAGGCTGGTATTGATGCAATTTGTGCCAGATCTTTTTACCCCATGATGCAGCCTGGTAGTAGGCCTTGCCAACATTGCTGTCCTCCCCAGGTGCAAAGCACTACAGATTGTACACATATTGCATTGAGAACAGTATAACAATACACAACCTTATCAACAGCAAAAGGTTTCAGTTCTTGTCACCAGTGCACTGTCGATACCACAGACTAGATGTATGTGCCAAGCACCCTGGAAGCTGCCAGGATGCCCACATCCTTGAGAACGCTCATGTTCCTGGTAGAGTTTAAGGGCCAGATACCTTACAAGGATGGCAACTGGTTGGTCTGTTACCATGGTTAAGGACTCCATTAATCAGACCGTCCTGATTGAGGTAGAGTGTGGATGCAATGCAGCTAATTCCTCAACTAGGACAATGCCAGAGCAGATGCCAGGCCTCCAGAAGATGAGGTTCCGATGCCTGGATTGGTCTAGGTTTGCCTTGCAGTTCATTCCAGGTAGGGTATGTTGCATAATCCTAGCATGCCGTGCTCTGAACAGTTGGAGCTGGCAAAGTGGGGATGTGATGGATGCTGAAGAGCTGTGAGAGTGGCACACAGACATTGAGTGGCACAGACTTCAACCAGGTTGCAAAATAGAATGGGTAAGCTGTGTGGCTTGGATCCTAAGCAGTGTTAGATGCGAGAATTTGAAACTGTATGAATGTATGAGCAATTAGATGTGAGCTGTGTCACCCATGTGCCTTGGGAAGTGTCGGTTTGTGGTAGCTCTCCCACTAGATGCTGATGGCCTTGTGGTGTTATCATTGGGCTATTAATACACAGTGCCAGGTAACGTTTTAGGTTCGAATCCTGCCATGGCAGATGGTGAAATTTGAAATCAATAGTAAAAAAAATCTGGAATTAAGTTTCTGATAATGACCATGAAACCATTGCTGGGGAGGGGCAAGAAAAAAGTTTGGTCCACTAATGTCCTTGAAGGAAGGAAATATGTTCTCCTTCTGTGACTCCAGACCCACAGGAATGTGGACGAGTCTTAACTGCCCTCCGGATAATTAGAGAAGGGCAATAAATGCTGGCCTAATAGTCTATGAATGAATATTTCAAAAAATGATGTGAAGGACAACTCTGGACTGCGAATGCTTGATTGGGTGCATGGTTGGGCCTTACCAGGATGCCTTGGCATCAGTGGATACTTCTGTCTATGACAAATGGTAGAATAACAAAATGGTACATAATTAATCAGCAAAGTTTGGGAGGACAGTGTGATAAAACCCTTACGGCTTGAGAAGAGTGAACCTTCTAGGAAACTAACCAAAAATGACTTTTAGCTAATTTCTAGTAAGATTCAGCTCCAGGTTTAGACTGATGCTGCCACATTAAAAGACTTAATCAGTTCCACATAAAGGAAGTCAAGAACTTTATTTGGTTTGTACACAGAACACAAGCCACCATGAATGATGCAAAAGCAAATGTAGAAAAATAGTAGAATCATATTGGCACTGACGACTATCTGTTCTGTACACAGTTTTAGTCAAAATAAATAGACGATTTCCATCTTGCAATGGCATCAATGTGTACAATAAATTTCTGCTTTCAATTTACATGAGTAATTATAAAGGATGGTAAATTCCTGGGTGCCGCTTATGCTCTTCAAAGGTTATTTTGCCTTAAGTGTAGCAAAATTCCTGTCTATATAGAATGGCAGCAGCTCTGAGGAACCTCCCAGCCAAAGTCTGAAGGCATCCCACTCCGCATGTATCTGATATCTATTAAATTGTCCATGTATGTTTGTATGCTTGTCCCAAAGTTAATCCTTTCAGTACTGGGTCTGGAACCAGGATAGATTGATGTTTGGTTTAAAGTGGGTCGACTGCTAATATGTCAAAATGCTCCAAGTTGCTAATGGATTGGTGACATTGTTTATTCCATCTGCAGCTGTAATACTATAAGTGAGAGGGGGAATATGGGTCCAGTTGTGATAGCACTTTAAATTTGCTAGAGCACCAAGGAACATCCATAAACCCTGGACTGTGACTATTGGAGATCTGAAATAAAAACAGAAACCGGCACAAGAGTTGACTGGCACTTGAAACAGAATTAAAAAGTTTTAATTCTTCATTTGTCCCTTTGTAGTTACCAACTCAAAATGTTGCAATCTTTCAAATGTTGCCTTACCAAGAGTGCATTCAAGGAATTTGTTATTTGAACTCTGCTGCTATGGTAAAAGAGCAATGGAGTGGAGTTTATTGGATAGTCTTTTCAAACAGCCAGCACTGGCAGAATGGGCTGTCCCTTGCATGATTAAACAGATTTTCTTTTTCTCAATTTTTGTTAATCAGCCACTTATACAAAACTTGATTTGGTGTTTGGCTGCCTTACTTGGGAACAATTTGAAACAAACTATTTTTAGCCAACCTGTTCAAACACAGTCTAATATACCTCCTGAATACATGGGGTTTGAATCTGGGTCTTTTAGCCCAAAGGTAGGGACATGACCACTGTACCACAAGAACACCAACTAGTCTTATGAATGCATTTAGGTGATAGATCAAGATCTACAGGAGTAAATGCTACCAAGATTGAAGAGAGTAGGCAAAATAATCAGCTAACATCAAGCTTTTCTTTGTAGAAGCCTGAATATTATGAGTGAAGAGGACATCTGAACAAAACAAGGTATTCGGTTTTAAGGTGCTGGAAATTATTTTTTTTTATATACTAAGGCTTAAATAATGATTTGAACAGTAGCTAGGTGCACATTATCTGAAATAATGAATTGTGGGATTGGTACTGACTGAAAAAGAACATTTGGAAAAGCATTGAGTGTGCATTTAATAAAATGTAAAAGTCAAAAGGCCTGAGAGAGAGACATTGGAAATTATATTTGTCATTGACTACATTGTATAACCTGTGGAGGGGGGAAAAAAAGAGGCAAATGACTAGAATAACAAAACAAGCTCATTCATCCATATAATGTGAGACTCGTAATTAGCAAGGTTAAAATGGAATGCTCTTTTCTACTTGATGAATCTAGTGATAATTTGATCACAGATTCAACTGTGACCTAAAACAGTCTACTTAGTTTAATGCAGAACTTTTTATTTTATCTGTAAAGCTCACTTATCTGGCAGCCGATTTGGAACTGGTTCAGGGAAGCACATTTATTACATGATTTACTCAAATTCAGCAGCTGAACCTAGGGCAAGTTGGTTTTGGATTTCCTTGTTAAACTGACAAGACTGACGGAAATTCAGGATGTAAATGGACCTATAGCAAAATGTCAGTGTGTGACACAGACTCACAAAAGAGAAGAATCAATCTGTAACTACTTAATGAAACGAACTGTGAAAAAGGTCATGATATTAAAGCATTTAATGCTAATGTTAACTGTTCGAACCATTAAATAAGAGTGCATTAAGGCTGCTCATTATGTCCATTATAGTAATAAAAGCAAGGGTGTAATGTGCATATGTACCCTGAGCAGCCATCTTGAAATGTTAGTCCAACACATAAATTAATAGATTTTGGTGATCGTGAATTATCCGAAATAAAACAGGATAGACAGTAGTTGCCCAGATCTTCTATTTTTCTCAGTTCCTCGGAAACTTGTACCTCATAACACTGGCCCTGGTGTAGAGATGTGGCAAGAGCAGAGTGTTCTGGCCATATGGGAAATCAGACATTTTTTGAGACTTTATAGAGGGGATGATGCTGAAGCAGAGCTATTATTGAACACAATTGTTCCAAGCCCTGATTGCAGGTGACAACAAATACAGTCCATTACCCAACAACATTTCAATGACCTTGTCATGTCAAATGGACTTCAAGTAATTGAGCTTCCTCACACAGTTGCGCATAGTTCTGCCTGATCATGTTATTGGCATTTGTGATTGTTGTCTACACACAACTTAATGGAGAAATTGAAGGATAGGAAAAGAAATTAAATTCCATTGAAATTCCACAATGGCTTAATTGTTTTTTAAAGAATAGTTGTTTGACACAACTCTGTGTTGTATGCGATTGATTCTGAAGCTTTCAGTCACGTTAGTTATATGTCTAATTCTCAGTGATCCTAGGTACCACAGAATGTACTTGCATACTGCAGGAGACATGCAGATTGCCTACATCTTGTCCAGTTAAGAGTTTTAATGAAAAGGGGACTAGATTTTTACATTTAGGATCCTTGGGTGTGACTGGCACTTGTCTAAACAATATTGTGACAGAACATCACATGAAGATTATGCAATAGAACAAAAGAAAAATAGGCAATATTTAGAAAATATAAAGAAAAGGTAAGGTCTTTTTTCCCCTTGGAGGAATATTGATAAGACTTGGTGACTAAAATGTGTGGAAAGACAGAAAATACAAAACAGAATTATGGTTAAAGCAAATTTTGCGCAGAAAAGACCAGGGACTAACAAATTGTTAGTTCCTAACTGCAGATTGATTAGAAAGGAAATAAAAAAAAATCCAAAGCAGTTTTGTATCAAATATATTGGTGTTAACCTTTCTCTACACACAATGGAGAGCACACTGACAGAATGAATTGTTCATTCAGTGTAGAATCTTTATAATTTTCATCCCATCCTTTTTGGGATTTATAAAGGACAATTAATTCAATCTGCCACATTATCGCATTTGCATGAGGATAAAATCTAGCCCACTATACCTTCTTCTTCAGATACTGTTCAATCCATTGTATTATCATCCACAGTTTCTGCTTTATTTCAGAACGCCAGCTTGAAAATAATGTTGCAAAATCTTTACATATTTTGATTAATCCAGAGATGGATGCCACTTTGAAATGTCAGTTGCAAGCATTAGCTAACCATGGACTTCTATTGCACAAATATGATGGGGCCTACATTAATAGTAACTAACATCTAGGTAACAGATTGCACCAGTGTATAAATCATTTCCTTATTTTACTTTTACCCTGTTATTTCAATGAAAAGCACATTTAAAAGTGTGATTTATAAACTGGATTTTATATTCTTACATGTATAATCTCAAATACTGTCAGAATTATGTTACCACAGTATGTAAATATTAGCAATTATGGAAGATAAACAGTGCACATAGGCCCTTACATTATACTGTCATGATATGGGAATATTTACTAATGCAATAACACACCATTGTAGGATCTGGCACTTATACAGTTAATGGAAGGAGATCCAAAACACAATAAAGTCAAACCCAATCCTAACATTAAGGTTAATTCCCCACCAAAGCTGCAATTTCAGTCACATTCTTGTTCCCTGGTGTCATTCACATATAGACAGAGACTAAAACATATTCCTGGGTAACCTTGGATGCTGGTTTGTGGGGGAGGGCAGTGGGGCAAGGAAAATAGCAAAAGACCTTGTTAGAATGGCTCACTGACGCTGTTCCCCTTATGGCTAAGAGCTGCAGGGGTAGATCGCCATGGGAACACACTCCACGTGAGCAACAATGACTCCACACAATGGCTATTTTCCAACATCAATGAACTCTTCTAGTGTTGCACAGGGTGTCCGCCCCACACTGGTGGGTCTAACAGCTCTTTCTTTGTTATGGAAACTTCTGCAGTTTTTTGAGTGCAACTCCATTTTGCCATGACCCTCTCCCAGTGGGGCTGCTGGTCCTCTTCTGGGCCTCCTGCGATCCTGTTCCATCCAGCATCTTCAGCTGACCTGATAAGGAAGGCTGCCTCAGGCAAAGTTGTGCCGTTGGGCGTCCTGCTGAGATGCATAGGCCTGGGATGCACAAATGGTCCCAAAATCCAGTTCCCAGCATTCATCGGAAAGTTCAGTCCAGAAGCCTGAGTGCCTTAAAAAAAACTGAACCAATCTATTGCATCTGAATGACATCATAATTTCATGATGGTCATAACATCCTGGGACAACTGATAGTCTGTCGGTAAATAAATCCTATCAGTCAACAAGTTCCAACAATAACAGGTCTTTTTTCAAAAGGAATATCACTTCACCATGATCTCTGTGTGAGGGAGAGAATGGTGAATCATAACCCCTCCAAAGTGGGTGCTTTTGGATCAGGTGAGAAGTAAAAATGTAACAAGTCTCTAACCTGATCAATTTATTCGTGATTTTACTGGAGGCCGGATGAGGGCGTGCAGGGTACTGGTGATCAAATCTCTCTCATGAGATAAATTCCCTTGGTCCAGCTTTAATGCTGGCTGATTGGGTTTTCATGGCTGTAGAAGCCCAGCAGTTAAAGGGCAGTGAGGACGGCTGGATGGAACAGGTATGTGGCTATAGAGCTCAGCTTCTGGGCTAGGAGAGCTACCCCAGCCCCACTGCCAATCACCTCCCTCAAACCAAACCAGTTAATGTCTCCGAGACTCAGATCACGCATCAGTAAGATCTTATATCCTCTTGGTACCCGCTGTGGGCTATAATCTCCTCGCATGCAGTCTCAAATTGTCCAAAAACTCTGCAGTCTTGTCAGCTCCCTCCATGATATCTCTGCCCCTCCACAGATTTCCTTCTTCCTCCCTCAACTTCTCTGACTCCTTTCACAATTTTATTACCGTATCTCCTGATAACCCCGGTCTTCAGCAGTTGTCTCCCCTACTCTGCCCACTGCCTGTCCTCCCAATCTGACTGGCTATTGCTGGCAAACTGATTGGTAAAATATTAATCTGGTCCTGTCAACCCGAGAGAGAACTTTTGTTCTGAATTTCCTGACCTTAACACTGCGTCCTTCCACTTGTAAATTTCAAGGACAGAGTGTGACAGAAAGAGGCAGGCAGTGCGTGTTTGTGGGGCCTGATTTAAATAGGGGTGTCAACGAAGAGTTAACCAAATGTGGTTATGATTGTTTTCTCTCCCTTAAAGTTGTCGGATTGGATTTAATGATTTTAAATTAAATTGTTGTTTGGTAGAAATTATTTTTTTCATATCAATGCTTTGGGAATGGAATTACTACCAACAATCTCAGAGTCAAGTGGGTCGATCTTGACTATATCTGACAGTATAAAATGTATGATAATGAGTCATCAGCCCATTTCATATCCTATCCCAATTTTAATTCCATGGAAGTCAGCATACATTAACTATGAAATCCCCTTATTGAAGCTTTTATACAAAGTCACAACCTTCATCTAGCTACTCTCAATACAGCTACAGCATGAGCCATAGTAAAAAATTAAAGTTTAAAGATCAAAACATTCCCCTCTGCCAAAGAAACCAAATCACACACAAACCGTTTATGTTTATTCCATCATGTACTTGCTTTCTCCCTCAAGCCATAGCATTTTGGTGATCTGACTCTTTAACAAATTGTGAACTGACACAGACTGGTGCCTACCTGAGTCTGTCTGTGCAGGCTCTCTGAATGACTATTTGATCCGCTCTCTCTTTGTTTTCCCTATTCTTCCGTTGGATATGTTCTCCAGTGCTAAGTTTCATTGAACAGAGTGGCTTGTTAGGCCTTATCAGAGCGAAGTTAAGTGTCAAGCGCATTGCCATAAGTCAGCCAGGACAGGCAAGGATGACTGATTTCCTTCGTTGAAGAACATTTGTGAACCAGATCAGTTTTTAACAACACGTGATAACAAGTGTCATGGCCACCATGACTGAGACCAGCTTTTTCCTCCAGACTGAATATTTGGATTTAAATTCCAGCAGAAGTTACACTCGGATTTGAACCTGTGCCCCAGACTGGACTATTGGATTACTAGTCCAGTGACATGATCACTGTGCCACTATCTCCTCGTCTATCTTTGCAGTTCAACAATTTTCCTCTTTCAAATGTACAAACATTCCATTCTTGAGTTCATTCTTAAGTTGATTCGTACGCAAACTGGAACACAACACACCACAAAGTAAAACAGCCGTTCATAAGTGTAATGTTTGCATGTCAGATCCTTAAAATTAATATTAATATGGGATCTTGTTCGTAAGCATTTTTGAGCATTTTTGTAGATCAGATGTTCATAAAGTGTGGACCGCCTCTATACCCAAATCAACTTCCTTTCCTTACCTTCCACAAAACTAAGGCTTTGAGTTTATGATGAACTTGAACCATGCTACACCTTTTCTGTGAGCGCTTCGCCCTAGTGAACATAGTAAAATAATATTCCATTCCCCAGTATTGGTGTTCCTCAGAATGATCAACACATAAATAATTTGGTTTTACTTTAATCATGAATCACTCGACAGGGCCAAGGTAGACTCACAAAGTCATTAGCCTCTGTATTTGCTGAGCTATGAATAAAATTAATCCACACGTTAATGAAAAATTAATGAAAAGTCCTGGGGTGCCCTTCACACTAACTAATAGAAGAAACAGCAGGCACAAGGGAGTGATTAATTTTCCAAACTCATTGTTGGGCGTCAGGAACCATTTGCTCACTAATTAATATCACCTAAACCTACAATAACACCGCCCATGTATGATTATTCTTCTTCACTCATTGTTATACAGGTCCCTCATCATTGCATGGAATAGTTCTCATAAAAGGAAAATGGGCTGCTGTAGGGGGCACCTGGGATTAAACTGGCACAGGTGCAGGCATGCAAGTTATCTGGTGACATTCATTGCATTTTGGTTTTACTCAAAGTTATGAGTTTTGTCTGAGAAGCCAATGCAGTGCCATGTTTGTTCCAGAGGAAGCAACCAACATCCATCTTTTATCACGTGCAGATTGACACATAACAGCTAAACAATAAATAAAAGATAAATCAGAATCTCCTACTCAAGTTGCTTCTCATAGAAAGCCTTTGCTGAATTTCTGTGTGTATTTTAAGGCAGGAAAGTATTTTTTAGATAGATTTAATCTGAAATGTAAATTATTTTTAGTACTATTTACAATACAATCATGTTTTTCACATGGTTAATATACGGACATTTGTAATCAAGAATCAATACCAACTCAGTTAGTGCTTTCCTACAAGAAAGCACCAGGAAATGCTGGAACATTTTAGAGTGCTGCGAGTGAGGAGGAGAAACTTGGGGTGCTACTTGAAGTAGTTTAAACCTGCCACCAGCAAAAACTTTTCCAGGAACAGTTCAGAGTCAAGGACGGCAATGTGAGCAGCTCGTCCAATTAGTGCGTTGGCGGTGTTTGGCAGTGCGTGGAAAATATCATAGCGTATCAAAGTGCAGTCCTCAGTCTCTGTCACTGGCCGAAGGAGGTTGTTGATCATTTCAGTGTAGACAGAACCTGTTCCAGCAGGAAAAGGAAACATTAGAAGAAAAAGAAATTTGTGATATTCACAAGGGAAATGGATATTTCAAAGACATATGTTTACCTGTGAGTACAGAACTCGAATATTGCTGAAAATTGTGACATGTCGCTGAAGGTTTTCAACCTGCACTCATCAAGACACATGCAAAAATGCCAAATTTCAAATGCCTTTCCCAATTAATAATACAGGAGAAAAGGGTGCTGATTGGCTGGCAAGTTGATGCTGAATGGTTCAGCCATTGCCATGGCAAAAACAGTGAGGTATATATTTTTGTCGAGGTGATATATTTTCAGCTTAAAGGTGCTTAAAGAAAGGAAGTAACAAAACAAATCATAAAGATGATATTTACCAGTCTGTCTATCTTTTAGTGCTGTCTTACACATTTCAATCCGGGCAGAATGAAAAGGAACATATCGATCCTGTGTTGATGCCACCAGCATGACATTCTTGAAGTACTGCAGACCTACATCAAAATAACAGGTTACAATTAGAAAATTTGACCCAAATAAAGTGTTTCGTTTTCCGATTACTAGAAGTTTTTATTTCGCTCGTTTCTTTGTCAGTCTTGCTGGGTGTCCTGGTGCTGAGAAGGATGACGATGACTAACTCCCATATCTATGTCTAAAGCTACAATGAGCTGAGTAACAAAAGTCTAATGAAACCCAGATTGTGAGAGGAGCAACAGAGTTCTGGATTCTGAGTGAGTCAGCAGGATCTGTGAACTTAGCAGAATGCAAATTGAAAGCTGGGTGTTTTCATCCACTTAGTTGACTTGTAGGTAACACAAATTATCGGGATAAAGAAGCTTAGTTCATTTTGCTGGCCGTCAATCACAATGTGCTACATCCCATCTGATCCATTACAATTGATGGATAAAATGTCTCCTGGTTATTCCAACAGATACTTGCAATGCCCGAAATTCTCACTCGGTATTGAACCATACAGACCAGGAGTGTTTGCAGTTTAATCATTACAATGCACTGAGCTGCCCAGATAGGGCTTGATCAACATCTAAGAAACTCAACATATGCAAGAATGAAGCAACATACGTGACCACCCCCTACACCACTGATGCATAGAGGAATATATAATATGCACTGAAGTGACCCACCAAGATTCCTTTAGCCACATCTTTCAAGCTTACAACCTCTATCATCTTGAAGGGTAATGAAAACAGGCACATAGAAACACCACCAATTTCAAGATTTCATGTGAGCCACACATTGTCCTGAGTTGAGACTGCATCACCATTCCCTCTCTGTTGCTAGCTCAAAATACTGGAATTCTCTTCAAACAACAATGTAGGTTCACTGTAGTGATTCAGGAAGCCAGCTCATTTCCAACTTCTCAAGGGCAACGAGGGATGAGCCACAAATGCCGACCTTGTCAGTGACACTCATATCCCATGAAAGAATAAGAAAACTTTAGCGGGCTTTAATGGGGTCAAGCGTAATGATTAGTTTGGTGTCCTTGACCTGATCACCATCCAATGGATCTGCTTGGACAGCAAATATACTGGATGTTATATGAGGAGAATCAGTTGGGTATCCCCTATATCTAGGGGAGACAGTGGCATGATGGCCATGTTGCTGGACTGGTAAACCAGAGCTAATACTCTGGGATCAGAAGTATAAGCCCCTTCCCTCCATGGTAGCATTTAAATTCAATCAATGAAAATGGAATTGAAAGCTAGTTTCATGGTCACCAGCACTGAGGCTATCACCAATTGTTGTTTCACTAATGTACTTCAATGGGACGAAACTGCCATCCTTATCTGGTCTGGCCATCATGTGACTCCAGACCCACAGCAATGTGGCTGACTCTTAACTGCACATTGAAATGGCCCAGCAAGCCACTCAGTTCAAGGGGAATTGGGGATGGTAACAAATGTTGGCTTTGGTAGTGACGCCCAAAATCCATGAAAGAATGGCAGGGGGAGAAAAATACCCTCCTTAGATAGACACAATCATTGCTCACACATAAAAAGAAGTTGACTGGAGTGAGGTATTTATGGTTGGCTGCTGCCTCGGGGGCTGTTCCAATCATGACAGAGCTTTCAGAAAAGGACTGAAGCAAACTAGGAATAAAGATATAAAAAATAATTTATGTATCCACTGGAATGAATGAATGCTTTGACTGGTTCATGAACTGTAAAATATTTCTTCGAAAAAAAACGAAATGAATGCAAGCATTGCAAACAGAATGCATGTCACGACATCTGTAACGATAGTTGTCTCCATTTGTGTAACTTTGCATTTGTGTCAGTACATAGCTGACTGAGTCATAGTCTCTATTTCTGTCACAGATCAGTTGGAAATAGTAACTATTTACTGAATGGGGCATTTAGCTCCCTATTGTTTGGGACAGTGTGCATTTGGCCATATGGACGGATTATATTTTCTTCATATTTTTGGGACTTCTGATATCAGTGCTCTTTGAATTGAGTAACTTTAATTGGAGCACTTTCCAATTTGTTGCACCAATCATTAGCAGTGCATGTACAGCCATTGAAAATGGCATCCCTAGGCATTTATATTTCGCTAGGCGAGTGCAATACCTCGACTTTCCATTATTACCTTTAAGGCCTCTTAAAAAGGCCTCCATAACGTTTAGTGCCACTCTATTTACCTAATAATGATCAGCTGTTTGTTATTCCCTGCAGATGTTGGCAATGGATTTCAAACTGTCCAAAATCTTTTTCACTTAGCACCCACATTAGTCAATGGAAATAACAGGAAGTACAATATGAAATTGGTTTCAGCATTCAAATTATTTCTCTGAATGGCATTAATGCTTAACGTTTAAGCTTAGCTCTGAAGGAAGAAAACAAAAATCAAAACATTACTTGTAAACATCACGCATCTTGTGAAAATTCCAAACTGAGTAAGCAATATAAAGCAAAATATTTTCAGTTGGTGTACAGACATTGAGACCAGCATTATTGACATAAAGTGTCAATTCAAGTGCCTGCAGTCTTCAGGCACCTTGTGCAAATATTCATCCCTGTTTTGCACTTTAGCGATGAACATCACAGAATTGTTTAACTGTGGGGCAAAAAAGTCGGAAATTAATCATGTTCAGAAATCTTTACACTTTTCTGCTTTAATGCTTACTGATATGTGGAAACAGCATAGTTGTTGGTGAGAAACAGAGAGAACAAGCAGATCACTAAATATCTGACTCATGGAGATCTTACCATTTAATTGTAAAATACTCACTTTTAGCACTAAAGAACTGATAAATAGCATCGTCTGTGTCACTCATTAATTTCCTCTTGATTTTTGCCTCATTTATAATCACAACTCTACAAAACAAATCTTTAATCATATTGCTTTTAACTGAAAAATATCCTAACTTCTTCTTTCCCTTCTTCTCTGATCCACAATGGAGTTGGGACACAAAAACCTCCTGGACAACCACTTTAATTTAAATGCTGTTGAGATAGCTAGAGTGCTGCAATGTGTTCCAGTTTTCACTTTTTATCAACATTGTCAAAGTAGATCTTCAGCTCACTACTGGTTAGGGAATCTCGCAGCGTACAAATTGGCAGCTGGATCGGCAAGCTGACATAACAGCCTTCGAAGTAAATCATTATTAGGAATGTTCTTTGAGGTGTTTCAGAGAAAAGTGATAATGGAGGCCTTTTGTGGGTTTATGTCTGTATGCCTCAACTTTTATCTTGACACAATGAACATTGGTAAATTTTATTTGAAAAGTCCTCCGCTGGTCCTTATTCATCTGGCAGGGTACAAATCAATAAGGAAACGCTGAAATCAAATTGCCAGGAGCTCTGAGAAAATTGAGATTGCTTGTTCGCCTGCACCATACGTATATCACAGAAACTCGAAGGCTGTTCTGAGATTCATAACACAACTTCAGATGATTTCCCATCCCATATTTCACAATAGGACTCTTTGTGACTTTGTTATCAGCAGTAATGAGTTTTGTCTTGAGGATTACATTACTTCTTGCCGAACAGCAGTTAATAAAACCGTCATCATAACATTTACAGGGGCACTATGACTTGCAAGAACATCTGTTTCAGTATTTTTGACAGACGTTGGTACTTTGTAAGAAGCTACTTAATATTGGTACATATGCTCATTAATAAACACAGCTGCCAGCAACATTGATCCCTTTAAATCACATAAATATTGCACATTTTTCATGGTGACTTATGTTCTTAATAGTAATTTGGGCAGCAATTTTATTTTGCAAGCTTTTTGTCCAAGACCACATTACCAAACAATACTTTGTTCAGGGTTACTCTCAGGAATGCTCCAATACTGGATTGAGCCAAAACCTCCCTCAATATACTTTAGGAAGTGTCCTGGTCACCACCTCCGTTCTCCTCACTAGCAACAGATCTTGGTGTAGTATTTTACCTGAAATTTCTGACACATATTTGGTTCATCACCAAGATGAACACCTCCACAACAACAACACAAATGGCTTGTGTTTATATAGCATCTTTGACATAAAGAACCATCCTAATGTGCTTCATAAGTAGAATGATCTTAGTAGGATAATAGGTCGGCACAACATCGTGGGCTGAAGGGCCCGTTCTGTGCTGTACTGTTCTATGTTCCATAAGTACACTATACGAGAAAAATTCCCAGAAAGTCACATTCACAGATACCTGGGCTGATGTGAAGAGCCTATAAGAAGTAACTAAAAGAATGAAAGAAAGGTAGAGTTCAGGGTTTTGGCAGCTGAAAACATAACCAGCCATATCGTGGCAATTAAAACCAGCATTACTTAATAGGACAGAATTAGAGAAGAACAAATATCTCGGAAGTTGTGGGGCAGAAAGAGATAGGGCGAGTTGAGGCAACAGTGAGATTTGAAAGCAAGGATCAGAATTTTAAAATAGAAGTGTTGCTTAACTGGAGCCACAATGGGCCAGTGAGTGATGGGTGAACGGGACATGAGACAAGTTAGACATCTGTGGAATTTTGAATGACCTCAAATTCAGAATAGAATAGAATAGAATCCCTACCCTGTGAAGACAGGCCATTCGGCCCAACAAGTCCACAATGACTGTCTGAAGAACATCCCACACAGACCCACCCCTACCCTATCCCTGTAACCCTACATTTCCCATGGCTAACCCACCTAGCCTATACATCACAGAACACTACGGGCAATTTAGCATGGCCAATCCTCCTATCCTGCACATCTTTGGATTGTGGGAGAAAACCCACGCAGACACAGGGAGAATGCGCAAACTCCACACAGACAGTCGCCCGAGGGTGGAATCAAACCCGTGTCCCTGGCGCTGTGAGGCAACAGTACTAACCACTGAGCTGCTGTGCCACCTGAACAGGAAGAATAGTCACTGCCATGACATGGATTTGAACCGAGGTTGCAGCCACCACAACACAGGGTACTAACCGCTACGCAATCACAGCGCCACACAGAAAACCAGTTTTTATCTTCCGCTGATCAGTCATGGTGACTGCACCGACTTCTCCCAGAATACACGTCAGCGAAGTCTCTCTGTTGTCCTCTATCGGATGGGTGTGAGGCCAGTAAGAAGTGCATTGGTATGGTCAGGCTTAGAGGTATCAAAGGATCCTGACATTGTTTCAGTGGGCGAAATAAAATCTCTTATTGATGGTTTGTGTATAGGATTCAAATTGCAACTCAGGGTCAACAAAGTCTGTGAACAGCCTAGTTCAACCTAAGATAGCTACAAGTTAAAAAGTTGGAGTCAGTAATAAGGACATGGAATTGTACTAGGAACTGAAGACAATATTCCTATTTCTTAACTGGAAGAACTTCATCCAAAACCAGTTATCAGACAAGCAGTCTGATCATTTAGGGACAGGGGAGGATGGTGAGAGATCGTGGTCAAGTATAGCTCGGTGTATCCATCACACACGTGAAAACTGATGCTGTCTTTTGCTATTATTTGTCTCCACTCCTAACTTTTTTGTTATCCATTCAGAGGATGTGTAGAAGGTGGCATGGAAAATAGATTTTGGGAATTTCTGCTGTACATCTTGTCGATGGTACACACTGTTGCCACTGTGCGTCTGTGGTAGAGGGAGTGAATGTTTGTGGATGTGGTGGCACTGAACAGGTACAAATGCAGGGTGCTGAGGAGATTACAGAGCGTCAAAGGGAAAGTGTTCTTGATCCAATACAAACTTGACATTTGTTGTGACCCTGGCTGCTAGGAACGTATAGGGCTCAGATATACTCTGTGACAGATCTATCGATGGCACAGTGTGCACCCATTTCATCAACACCGACAATCACCCTGAACCGAAGCTGTACTTTCTGCTGTTATCTGAGAGCTGCTAAAGGTATGCTCTATTGCAAACAGTCACTGATTTTAATTGTGCGTTCACCTACATACCCTTGATACCATTTTACAGCATTTTTGATCAAAGTCTCAGCTCTTCACATCCCCTGCTGTTGTCTTTGTTGTGTGCGCAGGCATTAATTACTGCTCCCTCTTATTCTCCCCATCTGCAGCTTGCCTTGGCTGTCAGCTACACTTGAAAGGTGAAGTGGTCTACCAGGAGCAAGCCTGGATCTGCAGTTATAATTCAAATAATGGAGTTGATAAGACCCAAAGAAAGCAAGCAATATTTATTTCCGGGTGAGAGGTGGTTTATTTAGGTGGTTTAGGCATTGTGAGCTGTCTTTTTTTATACTGGCTGTGCACTTTTATTGGCATTCTCAATGCAATTTCTTTCAAATTCTTGAATATGTTCTGCAATTGAGGTTGTCATATACACCCTCTGCAGCACAAAGTCCCATTCATGTAGACAGTTCATTAGACCCTGCGAAAACACAAAGAAACTGTCTGGGCAGCATCTCTGTACAGCACGACAGACAGTGACACCTACTGCACGTAGACTGTTGCCATAGTCAGTGGTCCCTCTAAACTGTGTGGCTCTAAGTGCAATTTCTCCAATATTCTGTGCACAGCAATCAGCGTGCTGACATGGATCACACTAACTTCTGATTCCAGAAGTCAGTGCCACCTGGACCTCAGTGGTCCACACAGAAGAAAAAGAAATTCGACAGAATGCTGGCTATAATGCACATTTCCAGAGTGCTAAATTGCAACAGTCATCTTGACCAGTATGGCTCCTAAAGCAATAACGCTTCTGCAACTACTAACGATACTGGTCCTGAAATCAGTAACATCTACTGGTTTCAATTCCCATTGTAAACTAGTTCTTCATTGATCCTGTACTGCTGGCTTTTCCCTCTAGGTAATCAACTGAGCTGCTTTGTTTTGGATACTATCAAGCTTCCTGAGTGATGTTGGAGCTACACTCATCACACTCCTGACTTGTGTCTTGTAAATAATGGACAGGCTTTAAAGTGTTGTGAGATGAGTTACTCACAAGTGATTCCTAGCCTCTGGCCTACTCTTGTAAACGCAGTATTTCCATTGCCAGCCCAGTTCAGTTTCTGGTCATTAATAAGGCACTGGATGTTGACAGTAGAGACTTCAGTCAATGTAATTCCATTGAATGTCAAGTGGTTAGATTCACTCTTGTTGGAGATGATCATAGTATGATACTTATGCAGTGTGAATGCTATTGGCACTTGTCAGCCCAAGCCTGGATATTATCTATTATCTTGCTGCATTTGACCATGGACTGTTCCAGTGTCTGAGGAGTCAGAAATGCTGCTGAACATTGTGCAAAGAGCAGTGAACATCCCCGATTCTGAACTCATGGATGGAAGGATCATTTAAGAGCCTCAATCTGGGCAAAGGCAGGTAGGTCATGCTAAGGAGGCACCCATTTGACTAAAACTATGTAGAGGTTGGGGTGGATGGGAAGCCAGACTGGGGGTGTTCCCAAGACATTTTACTCTTCCCTGCCCACTCCCTCTTGCCCCACCTCATCAGTCTCCCCTCTCAAGCCTGCATATGAGGCACTGTAATATTTTACCCACAATGATTTAAACCTATCTGGAAAATGAATAAATGTGTGTGATTATGTACACATTAGCAGATATCAGGGAGGATCACAGAATAATAGATATTACTGTGAGTAATAATAGATGAGTAATAATGAATTATAGATAGATAGTGAGTTGGGTTGTGTATTTAAACATATCCCAAGCTAAGTCTTAAATGGAGTTTGTTGGCAGTTCCACTACTTTTTGGCTACTCACTGAAATGTTGTACCAATTAAGATTCCAGACAGTGCATGTTTAACTTTCCATTCGCATTCCACTGACTTTTCTTCACGATATCGTAGTCTAACCTGTGCTGTATCATGTCATACTATATTGCAGCTTTGATCATGACTGATTGACAGTCCAGGTTTCAAAGGAACAAAGGGTTTGAAACAAATAGACCGTGCCTCAGGGTTTTTAACTCTTTGTCACGGTTCTGAAATTGCTAGCCAGCATTACACACGCTTTAATAGAAGAACTGAAAGGTTTCTAAGAAGAATTGCTTGATTAACTATTTCTGTTTATACAGCTTTCAAAAGGAAATAAAACTCTCACAAATTGAGCTTTTAATGTGTGTGTGATCAAAACCTAATGGATTTATTTTTGTGCATTATTTAAGTAGAAAAAAAGAATAATGGGTTTAGCCTGTGTAATTCTGTTCAGCACGCCATATTTTCTGTCAATCGATACAATGAATACCTAGCAGAATCTGAAATGGATTTCAGCTGGCTATTTACTACAATCAAAATGAATCATTAGACTTGAACTAAGATTTTTCTGCAAGACGGAAACCAGAAGATGTAATTTTAATATCATTGGGAATGTGAAACTAATAGACATTTGAAAAAGAAAAAAATGCGTAGAAAAGCGCTAGAACTGTTGCAGATTCCTACTCAACACATAACAGTGGATATCAGATGAAGACAGGCTTGGTTGTGGTGTTCGCTTTGGTCGACATATTTCCAAACAGCAACGCCAAAGGTCAGGTTTTAAATATGCATTTGTGTGAGGTGTGGAAAGTTGTTCATCTGTGCTTTAGCTTTAGTCATTTTTTTTCAGAGCAGCAAGAAAACAGGAAGAGATTGGAGGTGGGAAAATGGAAAACATCAGCATGCACTTCAATGGAATAAATACCCAACTGCTGAAAAAGACATAATTTACACAGCACCTACCTGGCTTTTCACTGAGTTTATACAGAAAAGTCTTGCGAGGGTCAGCCTGGTCCTTGAAGGTTAGTTGTAACAGTGAGCTAGACTTTTTCAGCTTCTGCATGAGCCAAAGACCTAAATTGGTGAAAGGACACAACAAATTACCAACAACCACCAACCAAGCAGTCCCGTCAGTTTACACAATGACAAAGATAGGAGAGAATACAAGTTAAGTCAAGTATAAGTGATGCCCAACTTGATTTTCAAAGCACACAGAATGTGGGGAGATGGCTAAAGCTGTTATTGTTTGAGGCATGTCCAGGAAGAGAAATTTAAAGTTTTGGTGCTTCTCGGTTTCTAGACCTCTCATTCCCCCACTACCCTTTGCAGTCAATATCCTCCTTGCATCTGTCAGGTCTCCAGAATCAGGGACCATTGTCAGAGTAGGGTCAAGCTGCTTTAATCAACTTGTTCAGATATGTTATGACGCACCTCCACGACAGTTAGTACTTGAACGTAATCCTTCTGGTCCATATGTAGAGACATTACCACAGTGCCATAAAAGCCTCTGCATTTTTAATCACCCTGCTATGACAAACTTCCACAGCTGCCGTGTCCTGAAGTGGGACTTGAACCTGGATCTTATGGCCTACAGTAAGGAACACAAAGACCACAAGTCTATCTGCAGGTCAAACCTCTTAACTTCTGTTCCAAGTGTGTGTGTGTCCCCACATACATGTGTCCTGTTCACTCACTCTGACAGGTACCCAGCCATTCTGTCATACACTTTGATGCACGTATATAGGAAACCAGGGCCACAGTGACTACGGAGAAATCAGGAAGGGAAAAAATATAGTGGGGAAACAAAACAGAGGGTTAAAGACTCCTGTGTATGTGTGTGAGGTCAGTTTCACTGGCATCGGTATTGGGGAAAGTGGGATTTGTTCCGATGGGTCAATCTCCATCTGAACCATAATGTGGATGATATTGTTGCCAAGTGTATAATGAGGCAAGTAGAAATGTTTTTAAACTAAATCATGAGGGGCAAGGAATCAAACTTGGGAAGTTATGGTAAATTAAAGGGTAGAGTCAAGGCCAAACAAAATAATAAACAGGCTGTGGCAGGGATTGATAGAGACGGCAAATTTAAGAGTCAGCTAATAGATAGGACTACAATTTACAAAGAGAACAAAAGGATCAAACTAAAGATTCTCTGATTGCACGTAGTCTTTGAAACAAAACAGATGAACTGCAGTTAGAAATGAATGAGTACAATTGGTAGTAAGTACAGAGACATGACTGCAGAATAGCATGGATTGAGACCCGAATCTTGAACAGTACAGGACATGTAGGAATGACTGGAAAGTAGGAAAAGGCGAAGGAGTAGATCTGTTAGTTAATTATTGCATTTGTACAACAGAGAGGGATGAACTAAACTCAGGAAAGCAAGATGTGGAAACAGTTTGGCAGAAGTGAGAAAAGATAAAAGCAAGAAGCCACTTTTGGGAGTAGTGTACAGGCCTTGTAACAGTGTGCACATGGTAAGGTTAAGCATATAGGGAGAAGTAATGGCATAGTTTTTCCTGCTGTTTGGATAGTCAGTTTTGTAGCAAAGATGATTTACACATTGGGACCCTGTGGAATCCTTGACGTAATGGACTCCAAGGGTATTGGCTAGGAAACTGAACATTCATTGGGTATTTCGTGAATTGCTTGGAACCGTCAGAGAATCCAAAGACTTCTGCTGCAGTTAAATAAAGTGTTACTTGGGACAATTAAAAATCTCGTCTATTTCTAGAATAACTACCTAGGTGATCTCACAAATTACCACATTCACATGCAACTCCATTTTCTCCAGATCCTTTAAATCCATGGACCCTGCCCCCACATCACCTGGGGTCCTGACATCCTTTTCCTGCTGCCAAACCTGAAATCCAAACTCCCCTGGAACCCTAACACCCCATACTTACATCCTGACAGGTGCTGCGGAGCGCAGGGGAAAGCAAGCACATCCTCTTAAACACATCATAAATGTGTTTAATGTCAAGCAGAAAATATAAAAGTTTGAATACACATATAAACAGATTCAAGAACAGCCTCTTTTCACTGTTACCAGACTTTTGAACAGACCTCTCGAAGGTTAATGTTGATCTCTCTCTCTGCGATACTCTGCAGCTGTAGCACTGCATTCTGCATTTTATTCTGCTACCCTGATGCATTTTGTATGGTACAGTCTGCCTGTAGATCATGCAAAATAACACTTTTCACTGTATCTCGGTACATGTGACAACAATAAATCAGATGAAATCAAATCTTTCTCGCTATAGTCAGTTTGCTGTATTCCGTGATTTCAAGGTCCAGTATCATAACCATCCAATTCAGCTTCTAACAACTTATTCACCACAATCTCCCCCACCCCAAAAAAAATTGGATCCAATTTCTCCTACTCACTCTGGCTTATGCTAAACACTCCATCACATACCAGTCCCCATTGAGCCCTGGCACCCAGCCCTACTTATCTGGCACCATCCTTATCTAGCACTGTACTACCTAGCCACCTGGCATCTCGTTTAGAATAGTGACAGGGCAATTTTTCTTTTCTCTCGAAGTGTTGAGAGTTTTTGGAACTCTTTTCCTGAAAAGATGTGGAGGTTAGAGTCCTTAAATATTTATACTGCTGAAGTAGATAGATTATTGTTAAGCAGTGGCATGAAAAGTTATCAGGATGGCAGGACTGCAGATTTGAGCTTACAATCAAATTAGCCGTCATTTCACTGATCAGCAGAGCAGGCTGAAGGGGCTGACTCCTACCCCCAATTAGCACGAATGAGGGCTTGATCTTACCTCACGTTCTAACAGCCTCTAGTCCATCTGAAGAAAAGTGAAAAACCTAACAATGCCCAAAATGAGCAATGCACAATGTCAGCGAGGAGGGAGGGACTGGGTATCTAGCTGCCTCCTGCACAGCCAATGAACATGGTTGTTCAGAGAAACATAAATCGGCTGACTAACCTATCAAGCATGCATCAGGTTGGCTACTCTCGCTACTCAATGTCCAGATTGACAGCCTACTCAGCTAATAGATGGGCCCCCATACGTTTGAGACTCAGTAATTAGCATCAAATGCACCTACTTAGCTCAGGCCTTGCATTGTGTTTCTGGGAAGGAATGAGGCAGTAGAGGCAGTGCAACTGCTATTGAAAAGGACATCAGGCATTGTGTTTGCAGCTTTGGAGGAAATAATCTTCAGAGCAACAATGCCCAGAGTTGAAGCAAGAAAACAGAACAGCATAAGAAAGAAATCAACGGAAGGGTTTGGAGGCTAGAATTAAAGAAGATGCAGTCACCCTCTACCCTCTTCCAAGTTGACATGTTTTGTTGTGAACATAGAACATAGAACAGTACAGCACAGTACAGGCCCTTCGGCCACGATGTTGTGCCGACCTATTATCCTACTAAGATCAATCTACCCTGCATACCCTACATTTTACTATCATCCATATGCCCATCCAAGAGTCGCTTAAATATCTCTAAAGTATCTGACTCCACTACCACTGCCGGCAGCGCATTCCACACGCCCACCACTCTCTGTGTAAAGAACCTACCTCTGACATCTCCCCTATACCTTCCTCCAGTCACCTTAAAATTATGCCCCCTCGTGATGGTCACTTCCGCCCTGGGAAAAAGTCTTTGGGTATCCACTCTATCTATGCCTCTCATCATCTGGTACACCTCAATCAAGTCACCGCTCATCCTTCTTTGCTCCAAAGAGAAAAGCCCAAGCTCCCTCAACCTTTCTTCATAAGATCTGCCCTCCAGTCCAGGCAGCATCTTGGTAAATCTCCTCTGCAACCTCTCTAAAGTTTCCACATCCTTCCTATAATGAGGCTACCAGAACTGAACACAATATTTCAAGTGTGATCTAACCAGGGTTTTATAGAGCTGCAGCATAACCTTGCGGCTCATTCCCCCTGCCAATGAAAGCCAACACACCATACTGAAGGGCAAGACAAAATTTAGAAGAGGCAATATAAAAGGTGAATAAGAAATGGCATTTGAAAAGTGTTCAAGAAGGAAGCTCACCACGATCTTTTCAAGGGGAACTAGGGACAGGAAATAAATGCTGGCCAGCCGGCAACTCCCATATCCCCTGAGCGAATAGAAACAAAAAGTGATGTTCTTATTGGAATTCCCTGATTGCAGTTTGAGAAGTTACACTTTGTATTGTCAGCAGTTCTTGATTAAGTCCCTAGGTGTTCAGTCAAGTTGTTTAGTGTCTCATATACGCAGTCCACTGAACAGATGGGGCTGGTGATGGAACAGGCAAATTATAAAACTATCTTAAGTGAGCAGTAAGGTTCCTGACCCTCTTTGCAAGGTGTTTGGCCAGAACATTGGTGTCATTGTAATGTCAGTGTACAAGTAATCCATGAGGACCAAGCCTAATGGTCCCAGGATATGAGTTTAATTGTAAAGCAGAAGATAATAGCATTTAAATGCAATTAATAAATCTGGAATTGAAATCTAGTCGCAGTCTTGGTGCCAGAAAAACTATCATTGATTTTTGGTTTTACAAAGAATCAGAGCATTGCCACTGTGCTACCATGGCCGCAGCTATTTTTTAAGCTCCCTTTTCTTCCTAAAAGCAGCTGGAGCTCAAATTCATCATTTGTCCAGTTCCAAACCTGACAATGCAGTTTTTTGACAGCTTTCAATTGCTATGGCAGGTAATAGGGTTTCCACTACAATTAAAGTCAGTTCTTTCACCATTCAGTATTTGAAATGTGTTGTAACATACACTTCCGTGGTTGTCTTGGCTTAGAAACGCAGTGGGAAATGAGCTCAACTCTTGCTGCTGCCTCAGTGTGACATTACAATTCCCCTACACTCGATGTGATCTGAATGAGTTTGCCAATTAATGTGGAATTGTCAGCAGATGGGGTGCTGTGAATCTCATCACTGGCAATTCAGTGACGCAGCCAAATTCATCTCATGTAGCAACCTTTTTGGAGAAACGCTGAGAGTGAGAGTAAAAGAAGTGAAACCGAACACAAAAGAGGCAGCACGCAAGAAACATTGAGAGAGAAAAACAAAACCATATCATGAATAATGCAGATAGAGAGTGATGTCGACATACTTAAACACGGAAACAGATAACTTTCATCTATCTGAGCTGGATTATTCTGCATATCCCAGAGGGGAAAGGACCGTGTGTTAATGCTGATTTGACTCTTAAATCTCTCTGTGAGCAAATTGAGTCTTGACAAAGATTTGTTTAGATCTGATTAGCATCTGAGTAGATTTGAATTGAGCATAACATGTCTTATTATAAAACTACGGGAACAGCTGTTGTCTAAGATCACAACTAAACTACTGCTGTACGTTCGGCAATCTGTCATTGCCTCTAGTGCCTTTCATCAGCAAGCATTTGTTTCCAACTAAATAGAAAAGATAAGTCTCTATTTTCAGGCAGAAAAAAAGAGAATTTCAAAAATCTTTTCCGAAGAGACTTGAATTTACTAGAAGTATACACTTGAAACATCAGAGAGAATGTTAGAGTGAACAGAAATTTTTTGTAAGTATAATTGGGACTACTTAGTGAGATTGTTTGTCCTGAATAGCTTGGTAGTCATACGCGAATAATTCATGAGATGGTAAAGTGACTGACTGGAGCCAAGAGTTCTTACCATTCCTGACTATGAAGGTGCCCCTTTTACTGTGGTTGCAGTTGTTTATCTTCCAGTCCCCCAAATATGTGGCATTATTCAAGGTTTACCTTGGGCAATTACCTCACGGACCAACATCCCATTAATTTAAAGTTCAAAACGCATCACAGCGATTTGTACAAGTTGAATTGAATAATTTTGCAAAAGTAAAAAAAAATCAAGAAATCTGCTGATCATTCATAGAATCCTACAGGTAATGTTCTTCAAACCTTTTCTGCCTTAGAGGTAATGTGAATGAGGATTTAAATTTTAATATCGTTTTATTTCAGTATTAATAAGAAGCCCCTACAGGTCAATGTCAAAGGGACATTTGGCAAGTGGCACTTAGTGTGGGACAGAACAGATAAATGCAAATGAGATTTTTAAAAGTTGGAGTTTACATTTGGATGTGAGACTGGAAAGAGTCGACAAAAGCAAGGATTATGATTTTAGCAGCAGTGGGAGTGAAGGTACGGAGTTGACAGACAGTGATGGATGTTAAGTGGCCTTGGCATGCATACAGTGCAGTATTTGACCTGTGCTTTGAGTTAAGCAGGAGACTGAAGGATTTATATGGTTTGGTCTTGCTTGAGCTATTGAGGAGGATAAGCAGAATTTGATGTGTAGGAGAAGCTAAATGGTTTCTGTTGGAAGAAATTTTGACTTATCCAGTCAGCTGTCTGGCAGTGAATTAGTGGCAAGGGAAGGTTAATGAGAGCATCCTCAGCATACATTTGAGGTTGGTTACCCATCAGGAAAAGAACCACCAGAGATTTTCTTTTAAAACCAGTCGATACCATCCTTTAAACTGTACACCACAATAGTTAGATTTCTGCCATGAGTCATTAGTTATATCATGGAAACAGACCCTCTGGTGTAACCAGAGTGCTGACCATGATTTCAAACTCAACTGGTCTCACTTGCCTGCATTTGGCATATATCCCTCCAAACATATTTTAATCATGTACTTATCCAAATGTCTTCAATATTTTGTAACCGTAGCTGCATACCCCATTTCCTCTGGAAGTTCATTCCACACACAAACCACTCTCCATGTGAAAGAACTTGCCCCTCATATTTTTTTAAAATCTTTCCTCCCTCACCTTAACAATATGCCCCCTAGTCTTGAAATCCCCCACCCTAAGGAAAAGAAACCTGCCATTCACCCCATCTATACCCCTCATGATTTTATAAACCTTTATAAGGCCACCTCTCAACCTCCTACATTTCAGCGAAAAAGGTCCCAACCTATCCAACCTCTCCTTATAACTCAAACCCTCCAATCCTAGCAACATCCTTGTAAATCTTTTCTGAACCCTCTCTAGCTTAATAATATCCTTCCTATGGCAGGGTGACCAGAACTGGGCTCAGTAGTCCAGCAGAGGCCTTACCAATGTCCTGTACAACCTCAACATTACGTCCCAACTCCTATATTCAAATGTCTAGGCAATGAAAGCAAACATGCTTACCTTCTTAACTGCCCTGTCTACATGTGATACAAACTTCAAAGAATTATGTACCCAAACTCCTAGGTCTCCCTGTTCTACAACACTACACAAGGCCCTACTTTTAATTGCATAGTATTGCATAAAATCCATAGTGTGTTTTCTATTTCATTACCAAAGTAAATTCTAGTCTCCTCAACGTACCTGTGCTAACCAATGTGCTATTGTTATATAGTGTTCCCAGATGAGGCCCGGAAAGTGACAGGAAGGTATGCAGCTTGTTCAAGTAGCATCGAAACCTTGGCCGTGTCAGCACTGAGCGAATGATGATGTTGCCCAGTGAGTGGCCAATGAAGCTGCAAGGAAACACAGAAGATGAATTAAAACCTTAGAGAATACACTGGCTGACATCTCCAGTCTCGGCAGTGAACGATATATGTGTGGAGCTGACATTTAACATGGAGAAGAAGCAACTCCAGAGGCAGGAAACAAATATCAAGGTTGGATTACATTGCAAAGCATGACAGCAGAACTGAAAATTATATTGAGAAATCAAGATGAATGATCAAGGTCCGTAGCAGAAAGGCAAGCTAATGTATGTTACAGTCTATATTATTAGCTGAAACCTAAAAGGAATGTCACAGTGAAAACCTTCCAGTCACCATTTAGCATTCAATACAACTGCTAGAAATCATTGGCAGTGTGTTTTTCAAATGTATTTTGTCACCATTTCTGTGTGTGATGTTTATCAGCTTCCTTTAAGTGATTAAATGAAGGACTTTCTAGTGGGTAAAATTACATCAGTGGGCTATAAGTAGCCCTTGAACTTTTGCAGTTCAGCCCAAGATACAAAAGCAATTCCTTTCTACTTGTGTTTACGATAGCTGATTTCTTCCAAGCACTGCAAAAGTTGGGAGATTGAGCTATAAGCCATAGGTAATGTGCCATGATTTTCCGATATTCATATAGAGTCTTAGCTTCATTACGTCTCTCAAATTAAAATCCAGGGAATTAAAGGACTCTGAAGCATGATTTATGACTCTTAGAATTGGGCTTTTAACATTTTTGAAGAGCAGTGTGTTTGGTTCAGCAGCTCTGAAGAAATTAGCATCCCCTCCTTTTGTTGTTTTCCCTTTCTCGTTGTGATTACTGTCGGGGTTCCATTGGTGAATTTTATTGACAATATTTATTATTGCATTATTTATTTCCATCACGTCGAACTGCTTCCTTTCTGTCTGAAAGAAGCATTCTTTCTGTTATCTAAATAACCAGAAGTCAGGCATCTCTAACATATTGACAGGATTTCAGCACAAATAGAGTGGACATAGGAAAAGAGGATTTAAGAAAAGGAGCTCTTCCAATTCTATCTTTCAGAAAAGCAATCTGAATCACCAAGTGACTAAGAACAGACTGCAGACCATGGTGGGCTGCCAGTCAAAATTAAAGATGAAGCTTTTCTTGCTCCTGCAGTACAGTACTGGCTGTGGTGTAACTAGATGTCAGGTGATGAGAAATTTCTCTCAGTTGCTGGAGAATGAAATGCTGTGCCATAGGGAATAGTTCAAGCTGAAATCTTTTAGGGGGAAATTGCGCAGATAGCAGAAGCAGTGGAGGATTCAGGAATGTGGGGAGAAATCATAGCTGTGAGGTGAGTCCACTCCCAAAACCAAAACACGTGACACAACTGACCTCCTTCTGTGCTGTAAACTTTGATGGTTCCAAAACAGATCAACAGGCAGCTGAACTACACTGATCATGTTTCCCATTATAGAACCCTTGAGACACCTAACCAACAATGCTGAGAAGCAATTGTCTCCATAGGCTCTAAATCAGTGGAGAGACAATTACAGAACTCAACCATATGCCAGTCGACCTGGCAGCTCCATCAATGGCACTGCAGGGCTCAATATTTTTGGCTCCAACTCATTTCAGCCAAGCATTGCACTGTCAGCTTATGTGCTGACAATAAGCGTAGCCAACGAGCAAGTGCAACATCAGTTATGATCACAGCACTTTTGTCTCATTTGTCATTGAAAGGAAGCATGACACTGCTTGCCAATATGACTTCTATGCAGAGGGACTGATGTTACTCTTGTGATCATCTGTCCAGCAGGTTCCTGCTCTTTAATTTTTGCCAACACGTCTTGTTTGACCTGGCACTTCAACCTCACTGACTACATTTACTATCGCGAGTGTAACAGTTGGCACTGGTGTGTGTTTGTGAAATACAGGATCTTTGTTGGCATTGTGTTGCCGTGAGTCAAGGGAAATGATAGTAGGTCACTTTCCCAAGCTCAGAATGAATATAAAGGAGCAGATACTGGCTTCAAGGCACAACTTTAAGTAAACCTCACGTTGGAAAATTCTACCTGCAGAGAGGGAGAGTGAGAGCATGCGTGTACATGTGTGTGTGTCTGTGAATGTAAATTCTAGCTTTTCAAGGGGAGGGGGTGTAGGCAAAGCAGAAAAATCACACAGGGCTCAACTCAGCAAAAAAATAACAGCAATTAAACAGAATTAAAATTTCACACTTTTAAGTGAGAGCTTCATTTAAAACTTACCTTATTGATTATGACCTTGTTATATTTATGCGAACAATTCAAACCCAATTAACTCCTAACTAATATACCATCACCTGTTCCCTTATATAATTGGATCTCAGGCTCTCCTTCAAACCATATTAGATGATAACATCAACTTCCATCAACCTACTCCTTCGTTTCTCTTCCTACTGTTTTCACTTTGAAACAACAGCATGCGACTTCTACTTTCTTTCAAATTTTTGTTTTCTTGCGGGCTCTGAAATATCTGTACAGAGGCCGGTATCCTGTCGCCAAATCCCCCTTTATTTACATATACATGGTACACTGACTGTAACCAGCCAGCTCAGAGTCAGTCCCTGCAGTCAGAAGACTCTCTGAATCTTCGGTTTATATCTGTCAACCAGGGCTCCCTGATTAGCCCAGGTTATCAACCCCAATCAGGGATCTCAGTCAATGAGATCCACCTGGTTTCAATCACTACAGGTTTTCTGTGGTTAGTTCTGGGCAGAAGAAGAACTTTATGTTGCAAACTCATGCTTACTAATCAGGAAGTAAGCTGATGCTGAAAAATTGTTATCTCTATGTGATTTTACACTAGCTGCCAGACAGATCCAACTCTAGTCAAGGGTGGCACGATGGCTCAGTGGTTAGCACTGCTGCCTCACAGCGCCAGGGGCCTGGGTTTGATTCCACCCTCGGGTGACTGTCTATGTGGAGTTTGCACATTCTCCCATGTGTCTGCGTGTGTTTCCTCTGGGTGCTCTAGTTTCCTCCCACAGTCCAAAGATGTGCTCGGTGGATTGGCCATGCTAAATTGCCCATAGCGTTCAAGGATGTGTAGATTAGGGGGATGGGTCTGGGTGGGATGCTTTGAGAGTTGGTGTGGACTTGTGGGCCGAAGGGCCTGTTACAACACTGTAGGGATTCTAAGAACAATGTAAAACTAGTCCTATATGTTTACATGCTGGTATATTTTGCTTAAATATGTGGCTATTGAGGTTTGGAGAGTTTTTGTTAGTGCTATTACCTCACTGTTATGTAACTGAGATTACCTAGGTCTGTTACAAAGATATATATGAGAAACCTGATATAAAATTCATATACACTTCATGAGGTGCAAGGACAAGCAATAAAGTAGCAATGAATGCATCAGATTGAGCATTCCTTTCTTCAGGTTTTATGGATAGAATATATTTGATGGACTGAATGACCATTCCTCATTTGATGTTGTCAAGAACTGTTTCATTATAATACAAAATTTACCATTCAATCTTTTTCTCAAAATTCTATAATATTATAAAGCTAAATTGTAGACAATTTTGGTCAATTAGTACAATGAAAGCGGTACCTTGTGGAAACTAGGAAATCCATCAAAGTGACCTGCACTCCATTGTCACGCTCAATCCTTGCTCGTGTTGATTTTTATCAATTGTTCTGGACACACAGTTAAGACACCCACTGTAAGAAGGGGAGGCACCTTTACAAATGAGATCAAATGAATTCTCTGCTTACTGGCTGAAAGTTAAAGTCTGATTTGAGAAAGGAACCCACTGTGGTTTACTACTAAGTGAAAGTCTGTCAGAAGAAAATCAGGATGTGAATATTCTGTACTTACTTATCTGGTGCCTTGTGTAGTCTTTATCTTTTTTACCACAGTACTGTAGGGGCCTGCGTTTTGACAGCTGACCATAGATTTTTTAATACAATTAGGAAATTCTGGAGAAACTCAGCAGGTCTGGTATCAGCTGTGGCAAGAGAAATAGAGTTAACACTAATTTCAATGACTATTCTTTTGGAACGGAAGAAGCTTCTCTCTCCACAGATGCTGCCAGACCTGCTGTGTTTCTCTGGCATTTCCTATTTTTATTTCTGATTTCCAGCATCTGCTGTATTTTGCTTTCATTTAGATTCTGGAGATCGTTCTCTAGATACTGCTATTTCACTTCTGGATTTTAACTCTACTTGACACTGAGGTCTTTGACCAAAGTTTTGGTTATTCATCCTAAGCACACCTTTCTGGCTCAGCTTTTGTGTTTCTCTTGACTTCGCTGAGCAACTGGCGATATTCTTCTATGTTAATAATGTCACATTAATGTAATGTAAGTGGTTGCTGTCCTTGCTAAGGTAGCTCCATGAATTAACTAGGAATTAGGTAATTACTTCTAATACACTAATATTAATGGTCACAAAATGCGGCAAAGAAAAAACTCAGACACAGACCCAAGTAATATTTTTGTTCCAGTTTAATTTAATTCTCTCCATAAAATTGCTATGAAAGCTTTTCAGCAGTTTTCTATTCCTCTGGCCAGAGCAGTCTCAGCTCCCAGTTTAAGCATTCCTCAGTTTAAGCCACTAGTATTTCAACAACAATGATCACCAAGTAGATATTCTGGAGGTGAACTTACTTGCCAGTGAGGATTACCAAATAATTGTGCAGTGTTTTCCCTCAGGAGATTAAATAACTAGTGTGCACGTCAAGATGAGTTAGATCACATATTTATAATAAAACAAACTTGAAAGATTGCATGAAAAATGAGATGTTTTTGGAACGGGGACTTACTATTGAGGTCAGCAACCCAGGACCCAGTGCTTCTCAGCCACAACTAACCACCTTCACTCTATCGTCCCACCCCAGCGATTCTTTCACACTTGAGAAAAAATGTTAATTACCTTTGGTACCCCTCCATAACGTTTGCTTCAATGATTTTCCCTGATAACTTATTCCACAGTGCTATTATGCTTTGAGTAAAAAAGTTCCACTTGAATGCACTCATTCTCATTGTAAATTTGTTTCCTTGATACTTTTGATACTT